ATACTATAAAGTTAATATACAATATCTAGAATCTGAGTTGATGAATCATTGAAGAGTGTCTCTTATAATACAGGCTTGAACTAGTATAAACAATCTTACATTTATAAGAGTTATATGTTATTATATTGATGAGAACTGAACTTATCAAGAGATATTAATTAAATTTAAATCATTGATCAGTAGTTATACTAGAGATTATATAATAGAGATATTAATAACTGTGATTAAAAATAACTATTGAGATATTAGTCTCAGTCTTCTTACAATTATAACTGATAATGCTGTGAATAACTACACTATAATAAAGAGCTTAAAGTAAAAATTAGCTTTGTATTTCTAAAATAATAAATAAGATTATATTCTCTGCATTGCTTATATGATTCAATTTATAATATAAACACTGATAAAGAATCTTAATATTGAGATGAAGAATAATGAGATGACTAATTCTTGAAATGAGAATGAGATGAAAGTAATTACTCAAGTAACTTTTATATTCATTTTATAAAAGATAATATTTTTTAATAACACTTTTTAATATTGCTTTTTAATAATACTTTTTAATAATACTACTATTAATTTTGAATAGATTGACTAATAATTTAAATATCACAGATTTAAAATATTACTAATATAATTTGTATCTCCTCTAAATAACAATAATAATTTCATAATATTTAATAAATAAACAAATCAGTCACATTACTGAATATAATACAGAATGTTAGAATATAATGAAGTTTAATATATAAGATAACTGTTCAGACTCTTTGATTATATCAGATAATTGATCATTGAGTATAATACTCTGATTAGAAAAAGATTCAGATATTAAAACTTTCTGATATGAAGTGAACTCAGTTGAAATATGTAATTGATTTACTGTTTCAGTTTTATAAAATAATAAAGACAGTCTCAATCACTTATACATTAATGCTGCAGTCAGTCTGATGAGTGTATAACAGTTTATTTACTCATCTTGAGAAGCAGTTGAATCACTTAAAAAGAAATTCAGTCTGAGATAATACTATAGTGCAGGCTATTATTACTGTAAGAGATAAACTAGTATATTACTACAGTAAAACTGAACAATCTTTTACAGAGTACTATACTATAGTAGCTCTACTAAATCTCTTTCATTAAGTTAATATCTACACTTCTCAAGATTGAATAGAGAAGAAATGAGACTTGTATATTAAATTAGTCTGAGACTATTACAATATTAACTATCAGAGATTTGAATAAGCAGATATTCAAGATATGAAGACAGTGAAATACAATTCTCTAGTAAGTAATGATCTTTGATAATACTTTATATCTCATAGAACTATAATACTAACTTTGAAACAGAACTTATATACATTGATTATAACTGAAAATCAGGCAAAACTACATACTTATACAACTGAATTTAACTGCTATTTTCAAGATAATCTGATGAATTTATACATCAAATCAATTCTAGAGTTATGAAAAATTATTGAGAGTATATATTCAACTATTACACTGATAATATATGATATTCTAATAATTTTATTAATAGAGATGAGAATGAAGTGAAAGTTCAACTCAAGTCAAGATATTTATCACTATTACTGAGAATAATTATAAGAAGAAATAATCAAGAAACTTATAATTATAAAATATAGAATTATCAGACAGTTTAATATCTCTGATTACAGTATATCAGAGAAGTGTAGTTTTCATAAGAAAGTGAAGAATAAACTTATACAAGAATGTATTTAGTTATTTCATGAGTATTATCAATAATTATTATCAAATTCTGATTATATAAGTAATCACTGAATGAACTGAATGAGACTGATTTTAATCTTCAGTCTCAGTCTCATTCTGATTTTGAAAGAATGATTATCTTTCATAGTTTATTCTGAGAAATTACTCTCATTTCACTGTTCTTGAATTAAATCTGATCATTTTTCACACTATTTCTCTCAGAAATGATTCATTTTCAGATTTTTTTGAGGCTTGGTCCTGGTGGGACTCATGTCAAGAAATGTATGAGATCAGACCAAATGAGACCAAATGTGAAATTCATGGTCCCGCCGGCCAGTCTACTCACACACATATATTTAGCTTTCACTAGCTACTAGTTAGATAACAATAACAATCAATCATGTTCAACCTCTCTCACAATAAATACTTACTTTATTATTAAATTCAAGAATAATTTCAGTATTAAATTGATTTTAAATTGATTTTAAATTGATTTTGAATTGATTGTAGAATTGATGATAAATAATTGAGTGGTTTCAAATTACAAGAAAAGATGTATTGAGCGAGGTCAGGTAGTGGCACGGGCCACATTTGCGAGGTCAGCTTACATAACGAGGTCAAGTGGCGCACTTAGCGAGGTCAAGTTTTCTGTATACACAGTAATACGATGTTGGTGGCGTTCAGTAGTGTATAACCTCTTTTTCCTGACACAGGCTCAGTCATATTCCCTTTACCGGTGTGAAGATCATCAAGAAAGAGATACGGGCTACCTTGCCGCTGGCACCTCTCGACCAAGGTGATGAACTCGCTGGCCCTGCCAATGTAGCGCGTGTGCGGCCCAGAACATCTAAGGGCATCACAGACCTGTTATTGCCTCAAACTTCCACCGACTTGAGTCGATAGCCCCTCTAAGAAGCCAGTAGGCTGTCCGCATCGAGCCTTAATTTTATTTAAAGATATCAGCGAACAACTTATAAATTGATTCAGTCTTGCAGCTTTGTGCTTCCCGAAAAAACTGAGTGATTTGATCAACTAGGAGGTCGAACTTTTCCGGGAAATATCGATATTGACCCGGTTTTCGAGCTTTGAGCAGAGCGTTTCGAGCGATAAGCCTATCAGGGTGGCTCCGAGCAATGTTTCTATCTGGGGCGACTTGAAGCCAAGTTCACGCGCAAGGGCCGTCGTAACAAAGACAGTGAATTTTCGTGTAACATGAATTCCAAGTATGCGTTGCTCAAGTGCGGCTTAATATCGCATACTCAACAAAATGGGGACACCCACACGAAGAGCATTTGAATTGCCTATCCGCTACTTCGAGAAGTACTGGCACAAAAAATCCAAGGCGATATATGGAGATGAAGCTTCACACTTGGAAAGCCATTTGCCTACCGAACAGGGCACGGGATTTCAAAGGCTATGAACAAATGATACACGAAGATGCAATGTTACTATCGGTGTGATCATTACAAGATCCCAGAGCACTTTACTGCCGGATTGCCAGACAGAAACTATACCTCGGGTTTTGGAGAATTTTTCTTGTTTATGCGGTGCGACAGCGTACTATGACAAATCCAACGCAGAAATAGCGACATTATCTCGCTTTGAACTGTGAGTACCCCAAGCAGGTTTATACTATGAGGTACAATCCACCAGGCACAGTTGCACAAAGATCCTCTGACGATACTGGATGCAAAGATGAACCAGCGGTATAACCAGATTGCACATCTACTTATAGTAAAGTATTGCCCACCTCGTTACCTTCCTTAACTTTCGTGACGCCTCTATTTCTCTCGTGTCTTTTAGTGTCCATATAGCCTGTGTTTCATACTTTCAAGAAGAATTACATATTTGTTCCAAGGTCTTCGCGATATAATGCTAAGACACTTTACCACCGATGCCCTGGAAGGGTTGTGCACTGAAGACCAACTTGATCTGTTGAATTCTGTGGATACTCTCCGTTCACAGGGCATCAGTCATTATATCTCGCTGCCACAGATTATTGTGTGTGGCGATCAATCCTCAGGAAAGAGTTCGGCGTTGGAAGCCATCTCTGGCGTTTCCTTTCCCGTTAAGAGCAACCTGTGTACTCGATTTCCAACCGAGTTAGTGCTCCGCAAGTGTCCGCAGATAGGAGTGAGCGTATCAATCGTCCCCCATGGCTCCCGAAGTGAGTCCGAACAGCGTTCGCTTGAAACCTTTCGTGAAACGCTCGATAGCTTCGAAGGCTTTCCGGCACTGGTCGAGAAAGCTAAGGCGGCCATGGGGATCTCGACACATGGGAAAGCCTTCTCTAAAGATCTCCTTCGCGTCGAAGTTTCGGGGCCCGATCGTCCGCACCTTACAATCGTGGATCTCCCCGGTCTCATACATTCCGAGACCAAAAAGCAGTCTGCATCGGATGTTGAACTGGTACAGGATGTCGTCCGCGCCTACATGAAAGAACCACGAAGCATTATCCTCGCTGTGGTATCCGCCAAAAATGATATTGCCAACCAGATTGTACTGAAACTCGCGCGTGAAGCCGATGTATCAGGCCATCGGACGCTAAGGGTCATTACAAAACCTGATACGCTGGCTGTCGGGTCGGATAGCGAATCAACCTTTGTCGCTCTCGCAAAAAACCAAGAAGTTGAGTTTCGTCTTGGATGGCATGCCTTGAAAAACATGGACTCTGATAAGGGGTCACCATCCTTGGCCGAACGGGATTCCGAGGAAAGGCTATTTTTCTCTCAGGGCATTTGGGAAGACATGCCCCGGTCGAGTTTAGGCATCGATAAATTACGGGGAAGACTGAGCAAAGTTCTTCTAGGTCAGATTGCAGCGGAGTTGCCCAGCCTGATCGAAGAAATCAATGCTCAGATTGACACTGCACACCGCGAGTTAGAGAAACTTGGAGAGCCTCGGGCATCATTGCAGGAGCAAAAATCTTATCTCCTCCAGATTAGCCAATCCTATCAGTCTTTAGTTAAAGCAGCCGTCGATGGTACTTACAACGAGCCCTTTTTCGAAGAAACCACCGCGAACATTGGCTATCAGAAACGTATACGTGCGGTGATACAGAATCTCAATCAAGATTTTTCAGATAAAATTAGCCAATACGGCAACTATCGCCAAATTGTGAAGAACGAGAGTACTGAATGCCTGAACGAGCACCCAGTTTATATCACTCATGGAGGATTCGTTCGTCACATAGAAGCACTTTTGAAAACGTCGAAGGGCAGAGAGCTACCTGGAACTTTCAATCCTATGATTGTGAAAGATCTGTTTTTTGAACAATCAGCTCCGTGGGAGAAACTTTGTCGCGAGCATATCACGATGGTCTGGGAGGCTGCGAAAGACTTTCTCCACCTGGCCATTACCCATACTGCTGATGCTACTACCACAAAAAAGGTTTTGCAAGACGTGGTAGAGCCTTCTTTAAACGAGTTGCTGAAAATGCTGAACAGCAAGACTAGTGAACTGCTTGCACCACACAGAAGAGGCCACCCAATTACTTACAATCACTATTTCACGGAAACATACCAGAAGACACGGAACGAACGGCAGAAAGCCGAGTACGCCACAATCTTAAAGAACTTCTTTAGCATATCTTCTCTCGACACTGAATACAAGGAACTACGCTCCGACGATAGCTTACACCAGCTTCTTGATTCCCTTGTCGAACGCACGGAGCCGGACATGAGATTTTTCGCCGCTAGTGAGGCCTTGGATTACATGATGGCTTATTACAAGGTGACTCTCAAAGCTTGCAACCATCCGGCAGAGGTGACTCTCGACTAACTGCGGCATAGGTTGCTTTAAAACGGTTCATTGACGATGTTGCGATCGAAATTATTGAAATGAAGCTCGTTTCGGCACTGGGTGCCATACTCTCTCCCATTACTGTGTTCAATATGCCAGACGATATCGTAACGCGGATCGCAGGCGAGTCAGAAGAACACCATGCTAAACGAGAAGAATTGAACAAACAGCTTGACATCCTCGCAAAAGGAGCTTTTACGTGCAAACAATTCATTGGCAACCGTGGTCTTTGTATGAAGAGCATTCCATTCCGAACATATTTGGTATCTAATGGGTTGATATAGTGAATGGCAACGAGCCCTCTCCCGGTCCCCAGCCTATCCGTAACCGATGTTGACTATCCATCGGAACACCAGGTCACTACGGTTCATTCGCTAGAGGACAATGTCGAATGTTTGACCAATAACTCTGATTGCCATATCATGTCAGAGTCTGGTAGCATTTGCTCGGAATTCGATTAGTATATCGACTATCCTCTTGCAGAACTCATACCATATCATCGTCGGCTATATCACCGGTTACGATAGGGCAATTGTCAAGTAGTTAAAGATCTGGAGGGAATTTTACAGCAACTGCACAGTATACAGGCACCAACAACGGCTTTGATTGGTGCTGTTGATGGTGGGCCCGCAGTCGATGTTCGCGCCCGCCACGCTGAATTCGGTGGACCATTTAGGACCGAGTCTGAGTTCAATAATTGGCTTGTCTCTCTAATCCACCCGGAATCGAAGCAGTATCGCGGTCTATTCTACATCGATACAATCCAAAATTGCCTGAGAAAATATAACCACCAACTAAGATTTGCACATGGTGACCTTGGGCTCCACAACATCCTCGTCAGTGAAGACGGCATGGTTACAGCAATTATCGACTGGGAGTTCGCGGGCTGGTATCCAGAATACTGGGAGTATATCAAAATGATCCAGTTTTCACGCGATCCTGCCTTCAGGTATTTTGCGAGGGGCTGTTGGAAAGATGAAACAGGGGAGCAGGTGTTTTTTGATGAGGAATATGTTCTTGATCAGATGCTGGACAGCCAGGTCAGGCATGGGGAACGGGTTCTCAAACGGCCTCGTTAGCTGAAGGTAGACGGAACCAGCGTCCTGTAAAGCCGACTGGAGAGGCGTTTCAATATGAGATCGAAGTGGCTTTAGGCCACGTGCCAGACGAATCCGAGATCAGATAGAATGGTGAAGGATTTGAGTAGTGAATGAAGTCGCTATTCTCGATGATATCAAGATTACATTATGGAAGTAGACGAACTCGTTCAAATTTATTAGAGATTTATGATTAACTAGCACGCGATAAATAGCATACTTTGGTCGAGAATCCAGCTCAACCAAACACAACAGCAACACAGTCGAGATCAAACAGCCTGGGAAGCCTAGCCCCTGGCCCCCGCGAGCATCAGAGACTTAGATACCTCGGATTTCGAGTGACGGTTCCGTGCTTTTGCTCTGCATGGATCAGGAGGTCCTTCAGGGTGTCAAGCGTTACTTTACAGGTCTTACAATCGAGCTTCTTAAAATCCTTCAGGTGCTTTCGCTCAAAGTGTTTGGTTATACTGCCCGCATGGTAGGACTGTATACGTTCCTGGTGCTTCAACTTCTCGTTCTGAAGACAGAGGAAACACATCGTTGGTCGCTTGGCTTCACTGCACTTGATGATAGTCAAGCGAATAACTTCCTCGGGTACTGGTGGCTTATTTACCGACGGTTGTGCATCCTCTCTGTCTTGAGTCATTTTGACGTCCGGGCTTCGGTACTGGCGCAGGGAGCCCTCCTGGACCCCGCAGTATGATGTGATTGCATTGATCGCGTTGATTCGCCTCTGCTGCTCTGCATCCCAAGAGTCCCTCGGGAGCGTTAGGAGGGCATCGATGAGAACTATCATCTCTGGCATCATATATTCCGTCCGCTCCAGCACACTCTTCATCGCTTCGTCGACTATCTGGCCCTCAAGCTGGCGTCTACTGTCAATGACCGGTTGTTCTTCATTGTATCTCTGCAGTTTCTCCCTCTTCAGCTTCACCCTTGCGTGCTGCTTGTCATTGTTCAGGCGCCTCTGGGCTTCTCTGCACCGGTCTTCCAACGCATCACGCTTCTTTCCAGGAGCCGTGGCGTCGCGCCTCCGCTTGAGCTTCTTGAGCGATTTTGCAAGTTTTCAGATCTTCGGCTGTTCATTGACTGATCGGGACTCTTGGGCTTTGAGCTTCCAGGGTCGACGTGGGTCAATGGATAAGCTCATTGAGTTTAGATTGAGGTAGTCATCTGCTTTTGGGTCGAGTCCACGGTAATTCCGGTAGGTGTTTACGGTTATGTTACGATTCTGATAGTGTTTTACGTAGGTGCTGATGTTGGAGTGTTTCAGAATCTGGTTCTGCATTGAATCGCTCACGTCCGCTGCATGAATGTTAGAGGCGGTGGATGTTGGGAGAAAGCATATGGTGTGATGGGATCTTACGATTTTCATTCAATTTGTTTGCGGCACCATTGCGCAATACATATGGCTTGACCGTTTGCTCAAACCCCGTCAGCTCACCGCCCTTCTTCATTCGATAGCTCACCTTCCTGGGCGAGAGCCGCACCGCCTGGAGTAGCTTGACGGTCTCCCCATCACGGATAGCCTCGCAGAACAGGAACTTATCTCTCAGGTCCTCCCGCAAGAGCAGCTTTTGCTGATTTAGCCCTTTAAGAACATCCAATCTATACAGGCTCTCAGGTGAGGTGATATTGGGGTCTTTGAATGCTTTGAAGTGAAACAGCATACCGAGGAGGAAGACGTGGGGGCTGAGTATCAGCGATGGATCGTAGATGATCTCTGGAAGAGGGAAGGTGTCGCTTCCCGGTGAGACTCAGTCAGCTGAGGGTCTGTGGCGTTCGTTGCTACCAGGGTCAACAAAGGCCTACCTTGCTTTCTTGCCCAAAAATCTCTTCGTATAGTCGAAGGTGACCTGACCACCCAGGCGGGGCCGTCCAAACACGGCGTCTCTCACCAGAGTTAGCTCCAGATCCCCCAAACGGATGTCCAGTATCGCGGACGGTCGATTCGACGTGTACCCGGCGAAGTGGCAGAATAGGATCAACTGGATACGCAGATACCCAACGAGGAACAGCATCTCGGTTGTTGCGAGGAGTACCCGGCAAAACTCCGCCAGATCCTCTACATACATTGTTCCCTTCTCTATTGCCTCCTCGCTGAGGCCTTTTTCTTTTGCGATCAACCTGAGGAGCTGTGCTGAAGGTCAGTTCTCGGATTCTCGGGTGGAGAGGATAGGCGAATAACTTACATCCTGGGATTTGGTGATGATCTCCTGGTCGATTCTCTTGCCGGCCCCGATTTTGTACACCATCTGGAACCATTTCCAGAAAGTCTGCAGGGAGCTGAGGCGCTTGATCCCCCTTCGTCTTCCGTTCTTCCCAAAACGTCGGTCACAGACCCAGGAGAGAAACGAGTAGAGGGTCCGAATGGTAATGTCATGATAGGCCTCGGTGACGTCCCAGCCGACATAGCTGCAGTGTCTGGTAGGAAAGACGGGATGTAAGTAAAAGTTGATAATGCGGCTCCCTGTTAGGAGGAGGGTGGCTTACTCTTTCCAGTGCTCTTCGACCCAGTCAAGTCTCGCCTGTGTGTTTGGACTGTAACGCAGTTGTCGAAGCTTGGATGTATCGAGGCTTGCTGCCAGCTGCAGATAATATTCGGGCGGATGTTCTTCCTCTTGATTCTGCAGCCACTCTCCGTCGTCGTCACTGTTCTCGTCGTCGCTTATGTCGCTGTCGGCACCAGCCTTGGTATCTTCATCGCAGCCCGAGACAGACGAGCAGTCCGTCTGGGAGTCCTCAGCATCCGAGAAGCAGCCACTGTTGTAGCCGCTATCTGGATCGCTATCTGACAGGCGGGGATCATCTTCACCTCCACGGATCATACTTCTCTTCCGGGGACTGAGAAGGACAACGAAGACAGGAAGAAAAGTAAAGTATCGAGCGAAGCAACAGAGATAGACAAACTAAAGCAGTCTGATAGAAAATGGTGTATAGAGGCAGAGCTAGAGAGTAGTGAATATCAGAGTTGGAGGAAAGACTGCAGCTGGTGACCTCTTTCACAGAAGGAGGAGAGAGGGATGGGCGATTGCCCACCCTCATTTTGGACCTGGGCGAGCAAAGGGAAGGCCATTTTCGTCCTGTTCTAAAGAGTTGTGATGGAACCACCATACGGGCGATTGAACTTGCGACATGAAGGGAGAAGCGTTACGATCAGACAGGAACAAAGTTGGAATGGTGCTGGCGCAACAGGGGTGAAGGTGCGTGGGCGGTACAGATACGTGGTGCGTGGAGGCAATTCCGGCGAGGGAACGGCCATAAGCGACCGTGCGGGAAGGCCGCTTTCGGCCATTTGCACGCCAGATAAGTATGTATAAAAGATAATAACTGATCACTGATATATATAAGAAGAATTATTATAAGAGAAAATAATCTTCTTTCTTAACTTAGTTATAATTTTAGTACTAACTCAAATTGAATATTATCAATGTATAAAAGTAAATAAACAATCTTAATTAATCTCTGTTATATTTCTTAAAATATATTAATATTGTAAAAGAGAGTATTATCAGATTATATTATTAAATAATATTATTAAAAATATATTAATATTATAAATATCAATATTGAAAAAATGTTGATATATATATATTATAGTGATTTGTAAATTATAATAGTTAAATATATATATATATATATATTATTTCTGATATTGATAATTAGTTACAACTTATACAATAATTTTTGAAAACTTAAAATTAATTTTGTAAGAGGTCTACACTGAATAGATTAGTATAATAAATAGAACTTATATAATAAAGAGAAAAACATTAGAGAAGGAAAAGAAAGAGAAAGTGTGAGAATCAGTGATCAAAGTGAATATTTATACATGTATGTGATGATGTATACAGTGAGACTTCGAGGTGGAAGAATCTATATGTGTTTGTAGCAGCTGAGGATCAGCAATCAAGAATGGCTGAGAATCAGAGTGATAGCTGAGAATCAGTGATCAAGAATGACTGAGAATCAGAGTATACATGTTTGAGAATGAAGCAGTTGAAATCTGTGAAGTGTAATGAAATAGTCTATATGATTGATCGGGCGCAGCTCATCACATTAGTCCCTCTCTTCCAGAAGCAGTTTCTGTCACGTATACGCGACCACGAGTTATCTCATACGTGTAACCCACGCGTTATCCGCGCGAACATGTCATACATGTAACTCTCAGTATGCCTGTATATTCTGAGAACTACTCATCTTTTCTAATCTTTTCTCATTCTTCTCCTAGCTATTCTACTTAGAGGAATCAACTATCTTTTATATTTCTGATTATCTAGTATAATAATGATAGCATGTCTACATAATAATCTCAGTCAAGAATATTTTAGTCAAGATACTACTGTAACTGTTGTTATAAGATTACTCTAGAGTTTATAGCAGATACTGTGAAAAGATTAAGTACTTATTAATATGAAATAATCTGTTGAAACTGATCACTGTGATATCAAGATCTAGCTTTTATTATTAAAAGTTAATTTAATCAGAGATTCTTTATTTATTATTCATCTTCTATGAGAAAGAGCTTACTTTAAAACAACTTAATATCTGTAATATTTTTATTAGTTAATAGTATAAAGTTTCTCTACATCAATTATCTTTTGATAGAATATTAGAGAATTAAGAGAGAAGTTACTTTATATCTCTCTTCTCTTTCTCTATTATAAGTAGACTAATTATGTAACTGTGTCTGAGATTAGAACTAGATTTTTTAATAGTCTTATTATTAATTCAACTGATTTCATTACACAGTTTTAACATTAGATAGTAGTCTTATACTGTCTCAGTAAGACTTACTATTTACTCTTATTATATTTTTCAAATGAGATTATAATTTTCACTTCTTAATTTAAATTATTTTTATTGCTTTAAATGACTTTAAATCTCATTTGAGTATTATTAAAAAGTGTTACTTTTTAAAAAATTAAAAATAGTCTAAAAAAAACCTTAAAATGTCTAAAAATAGTAACTTTATATCAAGAATGAGACTAAATGAGATCAAATGAAATTACTTTCTTATTTTTTTCAAGTTATAGTTTTATTTTAAGATCTGATATATAGTCACTTTACATGTTTTTTTAATAACTAGTCTCAGCAGAATTCATATTAAGAAATGTATGAGATCAGATTAAATAAGATTAAATGTGAAATTTATGATTCTAACAGTCAGTCTAGTTATAAGCAGTTTGAAATCTTTTATAGACTTATCAGATAAGATCTTTTCTACAGTAAATAAGAGTAAACAAGCTCAATCTATCTTCTTAGCTTATTCAAAGATACAGTTTAAAATTAATACTACTTTTATACTGCTATACTATATATTCTTTAAGAATAAAAAACTATAATAACTCATAGACATAGTCTCTGTTACTAACTTTAAGTAAGTCAAGATTATATTTACTCTGAAAGAAGACTTATTCAGAATCATCACTCTGATAAGAGTAAGAGAATAATTTAAAAGCTTTATAATATCTCATAGATCTATCAGCTGATTTACTGACTGAGTTGTTAAATTCTGTAGAGATTCAAATCAAGCTGATAATAAGTCTATATTATTTAGCTTAAATAATGACTATTAGTAAGAGACTCTCTGAATACAGTAGCTAGATTCTCTGTTTTTCAATTATAATAATATATAATCAGGTTTCAGATCAGTGAACAAGATTTCAGATAATTTTAACACTTAATCAGACAAGTCTCAGCAATTTATAATAGTCTTAATATATTTAATTATTAATAACTGAGTTTAAAAGACCTTCTTTCATCTTAATTTCAATATCACTTATCAAGTGTCTGATATTAACATTAATTCTTATATGATATTTACATATCTCATCAATTCTCTGAACACTCAGGCTTAAATACAAGAATATCAGAATATGAATTATAGTATAAATAATTCTGAGCATCATCAGATCAAGAAATATGAAAATTATGTTATCAGAAACACTATATAAGAATCACTGTGTAAATCTTATAATATTCAGTTTCTCTTTAATAAGTTATTCTCTTCATTCAGTTCTTTATCAGATGGAGAAAGATATCACTGCAATGAATATCTTATATACTATGAGTGTTATAAGAGTCATCACTCTCACTGATAAATCTCAGCTAGAGACAATCAGTATTATGAAGAATACTATTCTGTTAAACTCAAATTAGAAGATATTATGATATTCAACTCTGAGAAAACTGAAGTCTGTATATTCATTCTTCACTTCTAATAAATTGCAAATATATACAGTGAATAAGCAGTGCTCATGATTCTCTCTCAATATCTTCATAAGAAGCTCTTGAATAACTTATAGATTTAGAACTGAATACAGTTCAGAAAATAAGTAATAGTATATATTTTTAAGAAACTGAACTGCTTAATTAATTCAGAAGATTATAATAATAAGTAATATAAGAAGTACTACATCTGTACTACTGTTTCATTACCAGGCATATGCTTTTAATTTCATTCTATTTAACTCACAAAATCACTCTTCTGCATGAAGCTGAAATTAATAATTAAATTTAGTTAATTCAGTATCTTTATAATGATCTTGAAGCATAGCTGTAAGTAACCTGTTTCATAGATGAATTTGTAAATGATTTCTCCTCACTCAATGAATTTCATTGAAAAGTTAAGAATTAAGAAGTTATCAGTTTCAAACTGTGATCTCTGTAATAACAGGCTTCTCAGTCATCTTTCAGATTCTATGAAAATAAGAAAGTCAATCTTAAATATAATATCAAGTTCAGAATATCTAATACTCTGAATTCTTCTCAGATCTCTGATAAAGTCAAGCTGACTAAGACTTATAATCAGTCATAACAGTCAGCAGCTAGATTCAACAATTAGAACAGTTATTATCAGAATCTTAACTATAAAAATTGACAAGATATCTGATCTAAACCCCGCAATGTGTCACGTCTCTGGCCGTGTCAAGACCTCACTGCGGTTTCATACGGCTCATCACTTTCATGTGAATAATTTCATTTCATTCAAACCGGTTTTCAATCACTCTATGATATCATTCAGATATATCATAGAAAGATCTGATTAATGAATATAAGAACTCTGCTTCTATACAAGATCAGCAGATTACTCTTTCTTAACAGTGAGACATCACTGAGGTATTACTCCAGCTATTCTTGCTTATGAAATGAGAGAAAAGTATTCACTCATTATCTATATAGAATAGCTAGATACTGACTTCTTATCAAAGAAGTCAGTAATTTATTTTTCTTCTACTGAAATACATATGAGAGTTACTACATATCTTATACAATCTTCTTAGTATACTAAGTATTATATCTGTGATATTCTCACAATAACTCTGGAGCTCATGAGCTCACTATTCAAACAAGATAGTTAAGCTCACTTATACAGCTTTTTAAACAACTATCTCTATATAGTATCACTGACTAGTTATCACTTCAGTTCTATTATATTACAATTCAAATTACTCAATCTGATTATAAGTTTGAATCAGTCAAGCTCTATTAACAGATTAATATAGTCTTATACACTTATACTGAGACTGATCTGATCTCACTCTCTGAGAGAAACTCTATATCATTCTCTAGAGTATGTATATCTTTATCTCAGCAGAAATCTGAGATTTCTGAACTCACTGTATACTTTGATATAAGTTCTTCAATTACTCTATCACTGCTGCAGCCTCTACACATCTACATCTATTATAAAGATAGAGAGATTAAGATTGAAGATTCTTTAAGATATAAGAGAAATACATTATCTGAATTTCACAGCTTTACTCATACTCTGGAATAAAAATTCCACCTTAATCTGAGCCAGTATAATACTTATAAGATATGAGTAATATACATCATCAACCTTCTTGAAGGCATCTCTATGACTACTTAAGTTATTAAGAAGAGAGAGCTTGAGTGTATTAATACTGTTATAACTTAAGAAGAATTCAAAGACTTTCTACTGAATCAAATCAAAGATTATTATAATCACAGCTTCACAGCAGTACAGCAGTTCAACTTATTATATTAACAGAATAATGAGAATTCTTCTGATTTCAATATAAGATTTGAAGAATATTGAGAGAAATTGATCAATGATTTGAATTAATTAAAGACATAGCTTTATCTCATAAAGCTGACTCATAAGATGCAGATAATGATATCACAGTATCAGAGTTTATCAATTAATTATACTGATCTTATCAACCTGACTTCTCATATCTATTTGAATAATTAATTCTTTAAGAAAAAGATTAATAAGACTTCTTCTAAGTAATTAATAATAGAATCTAAACAGTGCTGTGACAGCTTCAGTGTGAAGAAAGTAAAGAAGAATTTCAAGTATTCTGATTCTTCACTCACTG